ACTCGTGTTAAGGAGTGTCATTTTTTTTTTTTTTTTTTCAAGTTGACAGTTTATACTCGTGTCAGGGAGTATCATTGACAGTTTAGGCTCGTATCTGGGAACACTTCAATTTTAATTATTCTTTAACTTTGCAAGAATAAGACGATAATCCAAGCTTATACTGGTGGGCACGGACTATCTCGTCATCACTTTGAGGATTTTCTTCTTGGTTTCCTTGACTTAATGCCCTTTGTGATTTTGCATTTTCGGTTGAAGTCATTGTTGTAGCATGGTGCGTTTCTTGATGCAAGTCTCTCGAGTTGATGCTTATAATGAAAGATGATGTTATTTCGTCATCCGAGTTAGGAAGTATATTGTTTTCTTCTTCGAACTCACTTCCCTCATCTTCTTGAAGGTTGTCGGGTATATCTGGAACATCTTTCTTCGCACCATGATTTTCCATGCTAAACTCCATGTCGTGGGCTCGAGTAACAAACTCTTTAAATGTGCGAGGCTTAATCCCTTGTAGGATGTAAAAAAGCTCCGAGCGCATGCCTTGCATACATGTTTCAATTGCAGAAATTTCAGACAAACGATCCTTGCAGTCAAGACTTAGAGCTCGCTAACGGTTGATATAGTTAACCACGGGTTCACCCTTCATCTGTTTTGTGTTTATAAGCTCCAGCATACTTACAGTACGACGAGTGCTTTAGAAATGATTGAGAAATTCTCGTTCCATCCGCTCCCAACTGTCAATACCTCTAGCTTTGAGGTCTATGTACCAATCAAATGCATGCCCTTTGAGGGAATGAACGAATTGCTTGACAAGGAGATCTCCGTTTGTACCAGCATTGCCGCAAGTTTCTACAAAATGTGCGACATGTTGCTTGGGATTGCCTTTTCCGTCAAACTGTTGAAACTTTGGAGGTTGATACCTAACCGACATTTTTAAGATGTCAATTCTTTCTATGTAAGGCTTTGAATACATGCGAGCACTTTAAGGAATGCCATTATATTGTTCTCTTATGCAATTCACTATCATGTCTTGAAGTTGTTGGACAAAAAGTGAGGTGACAGAGGCAGCTTCAATTGTTTGATTAGCGAAGATGTCATTTTGATCGTTAATTGGAGTGGTCTCTGACATGGAATTAGAATAAGGATTCGGTTTTTGCTTGACTCAACATTGTCGTCACACAATTTTAACTTTTCTGTCAGCGAGGCAATTTTCAGATCTTACTCCTTGAGGGAGTGTTGTAATCTTTCAATTGCACAGGCCATAGTCGTCAATTGTTCTTCGTATGAGGTAGTAGTCGTTATCATGACTGGCATAGTAACGGAGTCAGAAAAAATCTTTGGCCTTGGGTGGATCAGCCTTGAACTTGAACTTGTGACTGGAGCAACTTTGGAAGTTATAGGAACCTTCTTTCTTGCCCCCAGCGGGGTGAAGGCGGTATGAGTTTGAGTTGTTACTTTGATAGATTTGGTGGAATCTACTTTTATCGCATCGTGCTGTCTTTTGGCAGGAACAGATGATTTGACTATACTCCACATCATTGAACTTGCAGAGGTGTTTGTACCACTAGACGAAGTTGCAACCTTCTTATCACTTTTTGTGGTGGTATTGATGTTATCCGTCATGGCCGCGATGTCCTTGGGGGTATTCTTGTTCTTCGTCTGAATCTTGTTGGAAGTTATAGAATCTGACGATGAATTTGTTGAGGATTTGATGTAGGAGAAAGATATGAGAGGCAGAGGAAGTCCCACGGGGCATGCCAAAAATTTGTACACACAAATTTCGTAGTTTGCAAATAAAGAACAAAATAGGGAGCAAATAGAATTTTATTAATTTATAAAAATTGAGTGCAATCCTCAGAGGTATTCTTTACAAAAGAAAGAAAATATCCTCTGATTCGATCTTCTTTGTTTGTTGGATTCAAAGGTTGTTGGAGCTTGATCTTGAATCGAGTTGTTGACAATCTTCTTCAAGTATTTGTAGTTGAAGAAGATCGCTGATGATTTCTGATCGAGGGCTGACGAAACTTGATCTCGAACAATGTTGTTTGATGATTCTTTGAACTTGTTGAATCGTAGGGAAAGAACGACACGATTTTGATGTGCTTGTTGTTCTTTGTTGAATTTGAGGAAGAACGACACATCTTTGGATGTGCTTGTTATTCTTCGCCTTCAGAGAGAATTTGTTGAATTTGATGAAGAACGACACGATTTGACGTACTTGTTATTGATCACCGTGGAATTTTAATGAAGAACGACACGATTTGATGTGCTTGTTGCTCTTCGCCTTTGGGTTTGGGTATGGATGTTGGGGATGAGTATTGGTAGAGTTTTTGTATTTCTCTCTGGAATTTTGGATTTCTGAATTTGTCCCTTTAGATTTTTGGCCCTTTAAATTTTTGAGTCTCTCAATTTCTAGACCTTTTCAATTTCTGGACCCCATTCCTCCTTCCTCCAGGCCTCTATTTATAGGTTTCTTGAATTAATAGGATGATGACACATGTCCTCTACTAATAAGGACAAAATCATAATTGGGCCGGGCTGGCTATGTTGTGATTATTGTCTATAAAATAATCATTCCAAATATATTTTAGCAGGAATAATTATCTTTTTTATTTAATCATCTGGGCTGGGTTAATTAAATAATTTAAGTAGATCAAGTTTGGGTCAATTAAATAATTTAATTAAACATGAGACCCATATTTTATGGGTCAATTTGTCAAAACAAAAGTCCATAAAATTTTAGTATCTACAGGTGGCAGCTGCAATAGTGGTGGAGGTGGAGATAGAGGAAGAGAAAGATGGTGGGCAATTATGGGTAGAGAGAGCTAAGGGGAGAGAAACTGAGGGTTAAATTAGTTTAATAAAATGGTTTGGAAATGTTAAAGGGTAATAGTGTCAATTTACCATGTGTTAGATATGGTAGGGGTGTCTTTGTTAACTTTATCAAATCTGAAGGGTTGTGATTGTTCAAAAATAGACTAATTTTCATCTGACTGTCAATAGGACAAACCTCAAAGGGCGTCACTGTAATTAATCCAAAAAACTATTATTAAATAAAATAAATAAATCTAAATGAAATTGTCTAGAGAATTTGAAAGTTTCTTGTGTTTTTTACTGATTTTATTTATTTTTAATAGAAAAGTTAAGTCGATAAAGAAAAATTATATAATGATTGAAAAAAATGATTTTTAAAAAGTAAACATCTCATCACTTATTAGTTATTTGTGAAGCAAATAAAAATAAGAAGCCTGGTTACTATTATGAACCTAATAATTTCTCAGCTTACCATTTTCTTTCAAGTATGATATGCATAGTGAAAGTATTAACCTAATGGAGAACCGAACTCCCCATTTATTAGATAACTCATGTAGAATCCAAACACGAATCCCATTTTCACGGTTTAATGAATGATCATAAAAATACACTTTATGAAGATCTCTTCATTTTCTTAGGGATCGAACATCAATTATGACCATTTGATAAGTAACTTATTAAAATAGATGTAGATAAATAATACTTTCTGAAGATGCATGAGAAGTTTTCTCCTCACATGACTCAAGAAAAAAATAAAAATATTCGATTCACGATAAAAACTTTCAATATATAATCATTTCCTTTTTCTTTAGTCCAATCTAAGGTCTCGTTTTAGAGAATCATCATTTGTTTTTGTTTCTTAATTTTGGTTAAGTTTTCTAAAGGGACAGTGGTTATGATGGTTCATAAAAAAGGGCACACGCACTACTAAAGACAAAAAGTGCTGACCGTTGTAACTCAAATTTCAAAAACCAATCCGCCCGTTATTTTGAACCAGTCCAACCAATGGTCCCCATAGGCCCCTTACTCGTATTTTGTACAGGGCACGAGTGTTTGGTGACTTTGGCCAATTTATAGCAGCAACGTACGTTGTAGGGACATTAGTGATTTTTTTTTTTTATTTTTTTATTTTTTATTTTATTTTAAAATTGTATATGTATTTAATAAAAAAAGAGAAAACAATTTTTTTTTTTAATATTATTGAAAATAGGATTTAGTCACAATAATAGTATATGAAATTATAAAAAGACTCAGACACATTCCAAAGATCTAAAAATTAGAATAAAATAAAAAAATGTGAAAAAACACGTAAAATCTAAACCTTAGGTGACTAAAAAAAAAAAAGCCTTAGGTGGTATATATATATATATATATATGAAAAAATTAAAATATAAAAATTTATAAATGCTCCAATAAGAAGAGAGATCTTATTCCGAATGAATTAAATGTTCTCTAATTAGGTGCATTTGATAATATAATTTGAAAACAATTTAAAAATAATTGACGTCAATAATTTATCATTGAACATTGAACGTTTAAAATTTAAAAAGATTAATAAATCTCGATTTTTTTATTACCACTTTAAACTTCAACACTTAAAATTCTCTCCTTAAAATCCTTATTATTTAATTTCAAATTTCTCAAATAACACTTTTATGTAGCCCGACAAAAATTAAGATAGAATTAACTATTATAAATGTTTTAAGAATGTGAAATATTATAGAAGCATAACATTTTAATAAAAAGAAGAAAAAATTCATTCAATTGTAACGGGTGAAACATTTGTCGCATAAAATTTTAAGTTATTATTAAGTAATGCTAGTTTTTTTCTAACTTCTTAATGTTTTTGTTACCATCAAATTATATTGCATACTTTTTATTACTTGTCTGTCATTGAATAAAAAATGGAGTCCACTCTGACATCAAGTGTAATCATCATTAGACCTAAATAAAACTTTCCAATAATACCATTCATCAACTAATTATATATTATCGTCGATTCGTCACCGAAGTAAAAGTGACTGCATTTAACGCAATCCTATTCAAAAAAGAGACAAGAATGAATACTGGTGATTAGCGCACGTGAGGCTCAAGGAATACCCACTCAAAACAACGGGTATCTCACGTGACAACCTTGCTATTTGAATTCGGACCTGGCCGCCTTTACATCAATTCAATTTAATTCATCTGGATCGTTGAGTTAACCTCTCAGCTTTTTTTTCTCGTTTCGATTCGAACCAATCAGTCATTATCTCTCTTTCTCTATCTCTCTACACCGATTTCTTCTCTCACATCACCACAGGTACGATCACATCACACATTGATCCCTTTCATTCTGATATATTTTTTCAGCTGAAACTCATTAATTTTTTATTTTCTTTTATGTCTGATTCGATCTCTGAAAATAGATACACTTACATACAAGTGTATACACAAATATATGTATTGGCACTGATATTGGTAATGTTGACATGATACGACGATTTTCTTTAGGTGCAAAATTTCAAAATGCAGTGCATGGAACCCTAATTTGCGTATTTAGAATGCACTGTGAGGAGTTGAAACTTAATTGCGATTGTTTCAGCTCAAACTCATTAGAAATGTCCATTTTTATCTGATTGGGATATTGTGTTGACATGATCTGATCATTCTCTATATATGCACATGAAATGCGTGGTACCCTTGTTTGAAAAATGTGATTGATTAAGAATGCATTGTATTGAACCCTAATTTTGATATTATATTTACTCAGTGATTTGTATCTGCTAGAGGTTTTGCATTGCAATTTGGTTTGAGACTAAGCAGAGATGGAGAATTCTGAAATCAAGGACTCATCTCAATGTGTCAGAGTTGCAGTTAATATTAGACCTCTTGTAACTGCAGAGCTTCTAGTTGGCTGCACAGACTGCATTACTGTAGTTGCTGGTCAACCACAGGTATTGTATCTCAATCTGTTTAGGCTCGAAATTGTTTGACCGTAAAAAATAGAAATTTTGATTGATTTATTGTTTTTGATTGGGTGCGCAAACAGGTTCAAATTGGATCGCATGCATTTACATTTGATCATGTTTTCGGAAGCACAGCAAGTCCATCTTTTAGAATTTTTGAAGAGTGTGTTGCTCCCCTTGTTGATGCACTATTCCTTGGCTACAATGGCACAGTTCTTGCATATGGCCAGGTTTAATTTTAGTGCATTTCATCACTATTAGATTTTCTTTGATAGTAAATGTGTAATTGGTTTAAGATACAACCTTGTTTTCTGTGCTTATCTATTGTTAAAGACCGGGTCAGGAAAAACTTACACTATGGGGACGAACTATAACGGAGAAGAACATAATGGTGGAATCATTCCTAAAGTGATGGAAACTATATTCTCAAGAGTAGAGTCGAGGAAAGACTCCACGGAATTTTTAATTAGAGTATCATTTATTGAGGTAAGAAATGCAAACTATATCTTGTATTATTATCGGCCTTTTCTATTTTCAGATTAAACATGAAGTATATAGAGTTGATGTGATTACATATGAATCTGCGATGATTTCCCAGATTTTTAAGGAAGAGGTATTTGATCTTCTGGATCCAAATCCACCAGCTTTTTGTAGAGGTGATGGGGGTTCTCAAGCAAAGCATGCTGGAGTTGCAAGATCTCCAATTCAAATCAGAGAAACCGTCAATGGGGGTATAACACTTGTTGGTGTAACGGAGGCGGAGGTTAGGACAAAAGAAGAGATGGCTTCATTTCTGCTGCGCGGTTCATTATCTCGGGCTACTGGAAGCACAAACATGAATGCCCAATCAAGGTGCGATGTATAGGTGTGTTTGTGTGTGGTAAACATGTGTATCATGGTGATTTTCTCTGATGTGTTTCTGGTTGTTTTTGTTTTAACTTCCATTACTTTAGAAGAGAATCACCGTATGGTGCGTGTGCATTTCTGCTCAAAAAGTGAAAAGAAGTACCTCACAGTTTTTTTTTACTCGTCCTTTGGTTTATGACACTAATATTAATTACACCATGTAAAGCATTTGTCATGTTCTAGTATATGAAAACATAGCATTTGTCATGTTCTAATACATGATTTTCTTGTTAGGATTCAATTCACTTTTGTCTTCTATTTCTTTATTTATGTTTTCAATTTTTATTTCTACTTCAAGTTTTGGACTTATTGTTATTATTGTTATTTTTTAATTCATTATATACTACTGTAATGCCAGGGACATCACATTGGGACATCACATTATATCATTGTAGTACATATCAAAACCTTTACACAATTAACCTGTATGTTTTGCTTTGACAAATGAGATGTGCTATACTGCTATATACTGGCACTTAATAATGTCAAAACATAAGGACTCGTATAACAATAATGTTTTTACAAAGATGTACTGCCAATTCTTGATAAGTAATATTACTGTACATTTTGCCTCTCATTGTTAGTTCCGGTTTCTTCTCCTACTCAATGCATATAAAGAGAATTATATTTCTCTTATGTGGCGATATATTGAAATGTAAGATGTTAAAAATCTACTTGCTCGGTATATACTTTTAGTGTTACGGCTGTCTGGAGGAGCAAAATCACGAGGTCACACTGAAGTTAATCTTTATTAAACAAAGAATGTACCAGGTAAACCCCAAGGGGTTGGCCTAGTTGGAAAAGACTTGAGCCCTGGTGCCTCATGAAGCATCAGGTAAGGATCGATTCCTGCTAGGTGCAAACAATTCCTTCGCGGGGGGCCGGGGTGGGGGGGGGGGGGGGGTGAGTACCAACTAGGAAAAAAAAGAATGTACCAGGTACGCAAATGCATATTAAAAAAAATAATAAAAAGGAAAAAAAAAAAGAAAAAGGGAAACCTGAAAACTGTCTAATTATGAGCTAAAATATGAGATGCATTCCCCTTTAACTTTCATATATGGGTGACTGTAGCAAATTCTAACCAATACCTTTAACTAATGAATCTATATTTCCAATAACCACGAGACTCATTATCTTGCAAATCATCCAAAAGATTGCACTAAGGATTAGATTTTAGAGATCTCTTCCTTAGTTTGTCAAAATCCTTAAATATTAGGGAAGAAAGTGATAGACAACAACTTGCTTCAAATGTTATATGTTTGAGGAATTGATTTAGTAATCAATCTCTAAGAGTGTAAATAGAAATAGAAAATGGGGGAGGAAGAGCCTTGAACCCAAGATCTCCAAGAGCTCCAACACCACGTTAGACAACTCTATCTCAAAAGAGTTAAAGCTGCTAAGGAATTGGCCTAAAAATGTATATAAGTTCCCACAGAGAGCTTCTTGGCCATAATTCATTGGTGGAATGCCCCACCAGAACCAATCTTCTTCAGTAAACATCTTTAATCTAAGCTTAAATGTTGTAGAAACCATCAATTTGTCTGTATCATGATTCTATTTATGTTTGCTTTATATAAATAAATATATATATATGTAAGGATCGATTCCTGCTAGGTGCAAACAATTCCTTCGCGGGGGGCCGGGGTGGGGGGGGGGGGGGGGGGTGAGTACCAACTAGGAAAAAAAAGAATGTACCAGGTACGCAAATGCATATTAAAAAAAATAATAAAAAGGAAAAAAAAAAGAAAAAGGGAAACCTGAAAACTGTCTAATTATGAGCTAAAATATGAGATGCATTCCCCTTTAACTTTCATATATGGGTGACTGTAGCAAATTCTAACCAATACCTTTAACTAATGAATCTATATTTCCAATAACCACGAGACTCATTATCTTGCAAATCATCCAAAAGATTGCACTAAGGATTAGATTTTAGAGATCTCTTCCTTAGTTTGTCAAAATCCTTAAATATTAGGGAAGAAAGTGATAGACAACAACTTGCTTCAAATGTTATATGTTTGAGGAATTGATTTAGTAATCAATCTCTAAGAGTGTAAATAGAAATAGAAAATGGGGGAGGAAGAGCCTTGAACCCAAGATCTCCAAGAGCTCCAACACCACGTTAGACAACTCTATCTCAAAAGAGTTAAAGCTGCTAAGGAATTGGCCTAAAAATGTATATAAGTTCCCACAGAGAGCTTCTTGGCCATAATTCATTGGTGGAATGCCCCACCAGAACCAATCTTCTTCAGTAAACATCTTTAATCTAAGCTTAAATGTTGTAGAAACCATCAATTTGTCTGTATCATGATTCTATTTATGTTTGCTTTATATAAATAAATATATATATATGTATATATATATTAAATGATGTTAAGATGTATGGTAATTAAAAAACAAAAGAATATTATTGATTATGAAAAAAACTACATCAAAATTATATTGTTTTGAGGAAAGTGGAATAATGATAACAAGAGCATGGAAAATATTGAATCTTTATTCTAGAATTAATACTTAAATCAGGATAATAGAAAATAGTGGAGGAAGAAAGTTTTTGTTCTTTTCTTCTCTTTATTACAACCATGAATAGTCGAGAGATGAGAAAAAAAATCAAATATTAATAGTGGGGTAGGCGTTTATTTTAGATGCATACTCATTCTGGAGCTTTGAATCTAGTGCAACATGTGTCAATGGATAATGAATTCCCAGAATTCCTGATGTTTAATTTTTGCATTCACACTTTTTGATGATGTACTTCGGGCATGCTTCTTCTTGACGGGATATCATGTGTTTCCAATATACTTCGTGTTTAATATTTCATTTATCCAAAAAAACCTGTTGAACTTTTCCCTTTTTACTATTTTGGCATACATCTTATAGTTTTGCTTCTCCACCCTTATATACCATCCTATCTACACATCATCACATGTTATACCATTTGGCATTCATAATCTATCCATTTTGTTTCAGTCGTTCACATGCCATCTTTACAATTTCCATGGAGCAAAAGAAAAATGCTTCTTGCCCAAGTGGAGAAATGCATGATGATGTTGGTGATGATATATTGTGTGCAAAACTTCACTTAGTGGATCTCGCTGGTTCTGAACGAGCAAAACGGACAGGAGCAGATGGGATGCGTTTCCGGGAAGGTAATTTAATGTTTATGATATCTGAAACTTAAATTACAAATAAAGCGTGATGAATATCATGATATTGACTTGTGCTGGGTATGGGGTGGTAGCAAGATCAGCCTCCTGAATCTTGTTCCCTTGTTTGCCAAATCCTTAAAAAGTTGTTATGTGCAAACTGTCTATTTGTTGCAAAATTTTAAGCTATTTATTCATTTCAATCTACTAAGGTTAAAGTACTGTTTTCTTGATTTATTTGTCTTAGGAATTCATATCAACAAGGGATTGCTTTCTCTTGGCAACGTGATAAGTGCTTTAGGTGACGAGAAGAAGCGGAAAGAAGGAGGCCATGTTCCATATCGGGACAGCAAATTAACACGGCTTTTACAGGTATGTAAATAAATATCTTTTAATGTTTGAAAGTTTAGCTGACTATTTTAGAATGTACTAATTGAAGATAAACGTCCTTCTTTTCATTTTGGGCTGTCTGTCCCAAAACAAGTGTCTCTCTTCAAATATTAAAAAAAAATGAATCTTTGCTATGTTGTCCTCAAGTTTTGAAAAAGTTCCTAAATAAATATGGTATGTTTTTAAATTTTTAAAAGTTTAATTTTGGAATTTAAAAGGCAGACATTCATTAATTGCATGTATCTTTAAAAAGTTTGAGTCCCGAAAGGGACATTAATTTGGGGACGGAGTGTTTGTCGCCCTTCCAATAATCCTTTGGAGGGTCCATTGAAGTGTTGAAGAAATGAAATAAAACTCATTTGAAGTCTTACCAAGAATCTATTGCACATCTTTGAAAACTCTTGTGCTTTTATTGAATGATTAGTGATTAATTATAAAATCAGCCATTCATTTCTCTTTTATATTTCTTTCACAAAGTGACAATATGTTGATTGCTTTATGCTAGGAAATGTTTGGGATGATGTAGTATCACATTATCAAGCCTAGAAAGAAGGAAAGGGAATAATTTAATGTAAAAGGCACTGTGACAGAAGAAAAGGGGATACTGGAGGACGAGCAAATTTATTTTTATAATACTTGATTTAACATTATGCTTTTGCTTCTTATTCATGATCTTCATAATTGTGATCATGATCGTGATTGTCTCTTTCTTCTTCTTCTTCATTTAATTTTTAATTTATTATTATTTTTTTTAATTTTTCTTTTTGGCATGTGCTTAGTGATGGAGATGGTGATCAAATGGTTGTCTTGCATGCTTTCCTTGAGTTTTCACACATAGTTGCTTTATTTAGTAGTTTATTTTTAATGTGACCGGTGGCAAAGTAATTTTGTATGCTCACCCGATGTTGGTTTACTTAATGAAGAAAATTTCTATTGCTAATAATTGTAATGTGATTCGCTAGGATTCCCTCGGAGGAAACAGCAAAACAGTTATGATAGGTATGCTGTTCATGTATATTCTGATTATGTTCAGTCAATAGAGAGCCTTTTAAAGTAACTTAGCTGAAGTTAAAAAAAAAAAAAAAAAAAAAAAAAAAATAGTTACCTTAGGCATCTCATAATTTGCTCTATAATAACATTTTATTATTTTTTGCTCTTCTTTCTTTGAATGTAGCTTGCGTAAGTCCAGCAGACACAAATGCGGAGGAGACTCTGAACACTTTGAAGTACGCAAATCGTGCCCGCAACATTCAGAACAAGGCAATTGTAAGCTTCCTTCTCAAAGACAACTGATTTGTTGTTTTTGTTCCATTATGCTTTCAGCTTTTGATGTCTCATTTTCTTTCTTTTTGTAGATCAACCGAGATCCAATGACAGCTCAGATGCAAAGGATGCGGAGCCAAATTGAGCAATTGCAGGCTGAGCTTCTTTTCTTTCGTGGAGATGCTAGTTCACCATTTGAGGAACTTCAGGTATGCATTTTTAGGTCAGTATGTGTTCTTTGATATATTCTTTTTGGCTGTTGAATTTATCTTTGTTTTCCAGATTCTCAAGCACAAGGTCTCTTTGCTTGAAGCAAGCAATGCAGATTTACAACGAGAACTTGAAGAACGTCAAATTACTTGTGAGCATCTGGCACAATGCGCTATTGAAGCTAAGGTTTGTAAATGAATAATTGTATTCTTATAATTTTTTTCATGGTTACTTTTGAAGGCACGGTCATGGGATGCCTAATACATGGATCTAATGTTCAGGTTGAAAAAGATAGACTGATTATGAACATTGAGTCAGCTCGCAATGGTAAATCTTGGGATGCAACGGACTTGAATTCGAATCAGGTTTGTATGAATTGCTGCATGGAATTTTCTTATGGTTATTGCAACTTCCGCTGAGTGCTACTTACCAACCTATGTTTCAAAACCTTCTTTCTCAGGATTGTGATTTGTTGAAAACATATGTTGCAAAAATTCAAGAACTAGAAGGAGAACTGTTGCACCTGCGAACTTCGAATAGTTCAAGCCATAAAGAATTTATTCATCGTCTTGACTTGGATGATGGTGCACTTCCCTCGAAGAATTCATATTTCACAAGTCTTCATGAAATTTCCAACATGTCTGATAGAAAAGTTTTGGACATTCCTGGTAAGTTCCTATTAGTTGTTTTACAAGTAACTTGTTCATGTGATTTTGGACATTGTTTTTTATTATCAAGTCTTGATGCTTTTGCTGGGATTCAGCAGTCTGGATCAGAACTAACATTTTTTAGTTTGTTGCATGCAATGTTTTAAGGCCATTGAATATATGTTGGTTGTATTAATAGTTAAAGATTTCACTCTTTACGGTAGTTTTTTTTCCCTCCGGTGTTACACTACATTGATCTTCGTTTCAGTTCTTTGTTTCTATTATTTCCCTACTTGTTAAAGAATGTAAAATTACATTGTTTTAATCCCAGTTGAGATTGAAGACGAAGAGAAGGAGCTAGAACATTCTTCTCTTCAAGAAATGTTGGATAGAGAACTTAGTGAATTGGACAAAAAACTTCAGCAAAAGGAGGTAGAACTTTGCTTATCTTTATCGAACATTTACTTTAGCTACCTGCAAATTGTAGTTATTTATTTTTAAATTTTGGTTGGTAGAGATTGAACCATTTGTTGTTGTTTCAGTGTTTTATGCAAGATAATGTTAACATTGAATTAGAGAAAATGACTTGCATCAATCTAGAAAATTGACAAGAATGATGCATATTGGAGAGGGGCAAATATTTTCAATTACCAGGCTGCAAGCTTAGATGTACTTGATGTAGACTTAAGAACATGCACGTCCTTGCCATTTAGTTAGATGGCTTCACTTCTATACCTGTTCATTTCATTATTTTCGCATCTCTGATTTTGATGTCTTTTAAGATTCACCTTTGGTATAAAGGCTTTACTTATCATCCTAGCCTGTTAAATCTAATGGTGGAATTTAAAATACTAAGTTTTGGAATTGTGGACAGGATATTATGCTTGTTTTCCTGTTAATTTGGTTTCTTTGAACTACAAACTACCGTTTCTCCCCAATGGTGCAAATTACACTTCATAGCTATTGATTTAGATTTCTACAGCTGTAATTGTGAATATAATTTAGTTAGTTTCATAACTATGTGATGATATGCTGTTAATAGTCCCATCATACTATTGGAAATGAAGAAGATGGCAAGAATGTGGTATATCATGCAAAAGGGTTGGAGTTATTATATATTTCTATCTAGGTGTTAGTTTTTAATTTGTTTGCCCATTGCTGTGGCGGTGTGGCCTCATTTATTAATTTCATAGTTTTTGTTGTTTGCTAAAGGCTGAAATGAAGCGGTTTGCAAGTGTTGACACCTCAGTTCTTAAACAACATTACGAGAAGAAAGTTCATGAACTGGAGCAAGAAAAAAGGTCTCTGCAGGTCAGTTTTCTAATCATGAAGCTTATGCTTTGAGTTGAAGTTCACTATATACTGTTTGTAGAAGATGTTATATTTGGAAAATATTATTATAGGAACCCATAAATATTCTAATCTCTTGTAGGTTAGTTTTCTATTCATGAATTTTATTCTTTGAGTTTAAGCTCATTACATACTGTTCGTCTAATCTCTTGTCAAATTGACAGAGAGAGATTGAGGATCTGAGGCATAATCTTGCAAATATTTCTTCCACTTCTGATGAAAGCTCTCAAAAACTGAAGGAAAATTATCTTCAAAAGTTGAATGTTCTTGAAGCACAGGTGAATCCTATCACTTTGCCCCCAACCACAATTACTTCCTTGATAACTGTTCTTTTTTCAGGTTGCAGTGCTGAAAAAGAAGCAAGATGCTCAAGCTCAACTCCTTAGACAAAAACAAAAAAGTGATGAGGCAGCAAAACGTCTACACGACGAGATTCAGAGAATAAAGACTCAGAAGGTGCCATTTTATTGTGTATATGAAACCTGTGTACTTGAATTAGCTTTTCTTTGTAGACTTAGTGTTGATGCAATTGTGCATTATACAGGTTCAACTACAACAAAAAATCAAGCAGGAGTCTGAGCAGTTCAGGTCATGGAAGGCATCAAGGGAGAAAGAAGTTCTTCAGGTATATATATTATTATAGATTTATTCTATCCTTTCGTGATTAATTTTTTGTGATTTGTATAATGTTCCTGAAGCACAGTTGAATTAGAATAATTTATTTAGTGAAAGTTTCATGTATTTCATAATATTGCTACTTCAGAAGTCTTAATTAATATCTTCCTGTAATTTTTTTGTTTTGTTTGTTTTCATTCACTATTTCTAGAGAATTCAGCCATTTTTGTTGTTTGCTCTTATCTAGAAGAATATGAATCATGTCTTCATTTGAATTCGTTTTGCCTTTCTGTAATCTGATAAGAAATGGATTATCATCTGGCTTTGAACCCTCACGGACTCATCCTTTTTTCCTCAAAATGGGTATATCTTCTAAATGTTACAATGATCTCAATTTTACTTTAGCAAATATTTTTATGAGCCATATAACATTATTTTACCCATTGATTTGAATTTTTTCTAGTTATTCTTTTCAACATGTGTAATTGTTTGTGCACAAATGCAGCCTTAGAAGTTAGCACTTCTATTAGGGTTAGTCCTATTGCCTATATTAAGAGGAGCCCTTTCTTCCTAGTCCGTTTAGGTGTATAATCTCTTTATTTTCATTTGAATGTAAAGAGATTTTTTTTTTTAATCTCAATGTGCTACATTTGTCCCTTTTATTTCTTTCTTCTTATCTTAGAAAAAAAATATTGAGGCATTCCTGCGAATATAATAGAGGAAATAGATGACAAACATTTAAAGGCTTGAATGAGGATGATCACCCGTTCACAGTTCTGGTATTTATATATTAAAAGAGCACATATTAAATATTACAGGAAAGGAAACCAAATAAAATCGCTGCAGATTCTATGCCTCCATGATTCTAGACTAACATATCTTAGTTTAACATGGTAAATCAAATCCCATGATTCTAGGCTAACATATCTTGGCTAATATTCCCCCTCAAGTTGGTGCGTGGAGGATATACATCACGAACTAAAATTCATGATTTTATCTCGAAATACATGGCTGATTATCATTTTCCTATCTGAAGTGCCCAACTTGGACAGCACCCTCAAATACGGTCTTGATGATGCCCTTTGTAAGAATGTTTGAAAGTTGCTGAGAGGTAGTGAGTTAGTGACAAACGAAGTGCAAATTTGACTGAAGATGATCTTCTCTTGAATGAGGTGCCGATCAACCTCTTTATGCTTAGTGCCATTTGATGAGTGTAGATTTATGAATTCTGTCGTTGCTCTTCTACACTTCGTACAAAAATAAAAGAAAGACCTGCAAAGACTAAATTAACAATTAAATAGTGATAAGCAGGGTCGAACACAGATCCAAGATTTTTAACTCAAAGTTAAAACCAAAATTGAAGGAATAACACTTTTAAAACAATTTAATGATTTTTTTTTCTATTGAACTAAAAATAAAATAACTAAATAAGACAAATAAATTCTGATCAAATAATAAGAAAAATCTCAAGGAAAGAATCCACCACCATAGCTTATTATAAATAAATTTGTATATTTCTCTTTATGTAAATTTTCCTATTGTAAGCAAATCACTTCACCAGTCCAATTACAACTTGGAAAGATGAAGGAAAATAATAGCGTGAAATAACAATTGCTTGAGAACATATTTTACCCTTCTATTCTGTGTTCTTATTTTGATAAAAAAAAAATAGAAAGAGGATTCTTCGTGTTTGCCAATTAATGGTAATTCGGAGATCATGCTGAATGGGATTTGCTTCAATGCTAATGGTAGACTCTATGCCTAAATATATGCGTAAATAAAATAAAATCCCATGATTTTAGGCTAACATATCTCGGCTTAATATTGTAAGTCAAATCCCATGATTCTAGGCTATTATATTTATTTTGAGAAAGTTTGGTTTGTTCACAGAAAATTTGATGGTTCATGATGTTGTGGAAATTTGAAATTTGGGATGGTTGGTGCTAGGGATGAATTTAATGCGTAAACTTGATCCGTCATGCCTGTAGTTTTAATTTTAATTTTTATTTTTTATAAGCATATAATACGGTGGTTTTTAGAAAAGAAAGTAGTTGTGAATATAGATAATGACTTTTGTATGATGTAGCAGTGATCATAGTGAAAAGAAATACGAGAGAAAGAAGTAAATTTCCTGACTATAGTCTTACAAAGGGCCTATATCCTTTTCTCTTAGTCTTGGATATACCAGCAAAACGCATTTAGAATGAGTTTTCTTGGTCTATGTTATTTGCTTGTATCAAGAGAGTTTCAAGTAAATAGGGCTAAAATTGATTATTTGGATGTAACTTTCGATAATTAAAAATACACTGAAATTTGAGGGTCAAGGACTCGAGAGATACCAAAGAAAACATGCATTTTCATTACTTGGCCTAGATTATTATTAAAGATGGAGAAATTGGAGATGATAATATGTGTTATGATTGAGTTTGTCTTTGATAGAGCAGAATAGTGATAAAAGGTTTAGCGAACAACCCCAAATAGTTAAGTAAAGACTTTATTGAGTTGAGTTGAGTTATTATAATTGGATGAAGAGAATTACTCACTACAAATTACGTAATTAATTTTTGTCTCATGCTTAGTCTTAAAAGTTTGTCTTAATTTCAGTGCTGGTGGCCCTTAATACTCTTTTGCGTAACAATAACATGCTTTTAATGCTCAAAGTAATGCATAAGATCTATAAAAAACTAAAACTATAGTGATAAATCAATAGTAATAAAAATTACACATTGAAAAATGGACAACATGCATGGTATTCCAAACATAATATGGTAAAATGTCCTGTGGGGGCTAATGATATACATATATATATTATATAGATATATGGGCTAATGATATGTTGTGATGGTTTTTTTTTCATATGGACTTTCAAGGCTTTTATAAGTGAGACTAAAAAGGCCCAAAAATGAAATTATCTATCGCTCGAGGGGCCACATGTCAGAGCTTTTTCCTAATATACCATTAAAGGGGGGCCATGTATATGGCTTTGAAAAATATTGGGGCCATTCTTATTTACAGTCTACCCCTGCAAATAAGGGAGAGTTTTCTTATATAGGGATTTCTACTTTTTCTATTTTGGGTAACTGAATTTCACAAATCATGGATACACATAATGGTTTTTATAATTACTGCTGCATCCATTTGGGGGGCAAAAATTTTGCTGCTGCATTATGCCATTTTATTGTTCCATAATTGGGTTTATTTGTTCGAGAAATTGCATTTTACTTTGTGTTTTGGAGTACAAAAATATTTGGATATTGCTGATGCCAATATGTATTGGCAATGTCTGAGTAGAATTTGTATTTCAAATCATCCTAGGAGTTTTGAAATTTGAATAAATTATTCATGGGTTCTGTATTTTGGATGTTCTGATATTAATTTGCTATTATTTGGATTTCGCAGTGCTTGTTTTATCTTAATTTTTTACTATGGTGAGTTATTACATCTTTGGACTACATTGTGTTAACAACAGCTTAAGAAAGAGGGTAGAAGGAATGAGTACGAGATGCATAAGCTATTGGCTCTGAACCAGAGGCAAAAGATGGTAAATTGATGTTCAATTAGGATTTTAAATTCTTTCTAGTTCTGTTGCATCAGTTTTAACTTTCAGTATTTTCTCTGTCAGGTTTTGCAACGAAAGACAGAAGAGGCTGCTATGGTTACAAAACGGCTAAAAGAGCTATTAGAGTCTCGAAAGGCTTCATTGCGTGATACATCGGGTTACGAAATTTACTGCTTCATACAATACATGTTTATTTTGTATAACAATTGTTCATTGAAAATTTTTCCCCTCTTGCAGGTGCTGGAAATAGCAACGGTCCTGGAATTCAGGTATCCATAACTAAATTTGGAAATATTTAATTGTTTTTATTCATGCATTTCTAAGTAATAACCTTTCTCTTGAAAAGGCACTGATGCAGGCAATTGAGCATGAACTTGAAGTAACAGTACGAGTACACGAAGTACGTTCAGAATATGAGCGTCAAATGGAAGAGTGAGTGCCATTGCTTGCTTATTATTATTATTTTTTATGAAGAATAATATAGATGCCAAGCATTTGAATCTTGTGATGGTTGAGTACTTGGTATGAATTAGCTAGTCTTTGCTAGTTAAGAGATTTAGTTTTACTTAGTTGCATTTGCTTTCTGATTGATTTGATTGACTCATGCAGACAAATCCGGCTATCTCTGATTTAAGTTTTTTTTATCTTATTATTTATGAAGCTTGTATTTAATCAGAGAAAAGTAATAGCTGTAATTTTTTCTTTTTTGTTTGTAGGAATTTTGTGTTATAAGATATATATTCTTTTTCACATCTTGGATTGCAAACCTTGCCAGCCTTTTATTTTCTAAGTTTCTTATTTTGACTTCCACACATCTCTTTTTATCTAAATATCAAGAAACTTTAACTGCATATATTACAATCCATTATGGTGATGTTCGAAGAATAGAATAGGCGAGCCTCTTCCACATCAATAACTAATAGGTGATATTTTTAGTGAGACCAGATCCAATAATATCAAGATACTTTTATAGCATAAACAGTTCACTTTTTAGCATTTATTTATATAAGTTTTGCATGTTCATGAAAATGAGGAAGCAAAGTACAAAAATATGTGAAATGGGAAATGCATAAAATTCCATGGGTTCATATTGATTTATTGAATGTACTGGAAGCTATCACCATCCAGTTATAATTTAAAAATCCTATTTTCAAGCACTAAAGCTTGTGCATGTGAGAGGGTGATGAATTAGGCCTTTACCATTGTTTGGTCCTGTCAATGTGGCGCTAGCTTTCTGGCTGGGAGACTACCTGACTTCTGTTTCATTTACATTAAGTTGTGACATGAACAGGTACAGGAGAGAGAGATTGTTAAAACAAGGATATGAGAGCTGCCAGTGAGTGTTGGAGAAATTGGGAAAGCAATCATTCTCAGTTGAGGTTATTGGAAAAGTAATTCCATTTGACCAAGAACTCTTTGTTAAAAAGCAAAAAAATGAAAACAGAATACCACTCAAATATTGTTGCGGGATTTGTGATTTTAGCTAATCTGGATTAACAAATTTTATTCACATTTTGCTGCCAAAAGGTATTGGTATTCAACAAATTCAGTCCGTTCCCTTGGTTATTTATTAAGGGTTTAGTAACCATATCAGTATTGTGCAAATTTGTTGTACCCTCGATTGCATGTTTTTCCTGGAGGGAGTTGTGAAATGAAAACAGAAGTCCACTCAAATTTTGTTGCGAGATTTATGATTTTAGTTAATCTGGATTAACAAATTTTATTCACATTTTGCTGCCAAAAGATATTGGTATTCAACAAATTCAGTCCGTTCCCTTGGTTATTTAGTAAGGGTTTAGTAACCATATCAGTATTGTGCAAATTTGTAGTACCTCTACTGCTTGTTTTTCCTGGAGGGAGTTATGATCCTGCAGAACTTTTCTTGCCCTAAATTTGTTGGTAGCCTTTTACAATCACTTCGACAGCATGGTGTATGAGTAGGAAAAAAGCTCTAGATAATTATTTCAGCATTTAATAGTGCATTTGAGGATCTGGTTAGAGTTTGCCATCTTTGTCAAGGTATCATAGACATGAAAAGGGCGAATATGGTTATTCAATTTGACTAAATTCAGTTCCTGCCCCAAATGCTATTTGCTGTTTTGGTGTTGCCAACTAGATAAATATTTTGTTTTCTTTTTTCATGAACTGTCAAAAATAGAATACAAGTTGTGATCAAGAGCAGGACTAGAGAAGTCGTGAAATGGGTTTAGTTCGCATATGTAAATCTTAGAAGTTGAAGGTCTTGATAGCCTTTTTTCTCAAAGTAACAATTTGCACAAGTTTTATCTTTTGCTGCACGGATGTAGAGTAACAAAGGTTTTACAGGTATTGATGTCATGGTGCCACAAATGCTGCAAATATTTTTTTTTCTCATTCTCTGGATCATCTCTATAAATTTCAGGTCTAACACAGACCTTGAAACTGCAATATGGTTGTTTAGGTTTAGAATAGTAATGCATCTACTACTTTCCCCATTTCATAATTTTCTGGATGTGTATTATGGTTGTATAATTATAAAAATGTTTGTGGTAGATTCCTACTGCCAGTATTAATTGAAGTAAATCATTTTTGAATTATAGGAGGGCTAGAATGGCAAAGGAGGTCGCAGAGCTGAAGGAAGAAGCACAGCTTCTAAAGCAAACAAATTTGAAGTCAGATATATTTTTGCCAATTTCACTTTATACAAAGTTTTTTTTTTTTCCTCAGCATAACTTCATGTATCATTGCTTTAAGGCTTCCCTCTCAAATCTCAATGGGTCTATTGCAGCAATTGTTCCCAGACAATGTCTCCTAGTGCAAGAAATTCAAGGATTTTTGCGCTTGAAAACATGCTTGCCACTTCATCCAGCACCCTCGTTTCTATGGCATCACAGTTGTCAGAAGCAGAAGAGAGTGAACGTGCATTTAGTGGCCGGGGACGTTGGAACCAAGTTCGATCTCTTGCTGAGGCAAAAAATATTATGAATTATCTATTTAATATAGCATCCTCTTCTAGGTAATTATTACAAGAAGTCAAAGGAATCATTAAAAAGCAAAAGGTCACTATAATTTTTTGAATTGTCCTTTGCTGCTTTTTGTAGGTGCTCGTTAAGGGATAAAGAAGTTGACTGCAGAGAGAAGGACTCAGAAATAAGAGACCTGAAGGAAAAAGTAGTCACTCTAATTAGACAGCTGGAAATGCAGAAGGCTGAACTTGTTCGTCGGGAGAAGTTGCAGGTTAGTTCCTTTGCTTTCATGTTATAATTTGATTTAAGACATATATAACAAATAGAAAATACTGCTGGTTGATAAAAAATGTATTTAATTTAGATTAAATTTACTATTATGACCAGATGTTGACATCTTGGCTCTTGGTCGGTTCTTTATTTTTATCAATATGTGCTCAATATAGACATTTTTAAGTCTTGCTATCATCACAGCAGCAAAGTTTGTTTCTGCAACTAATTAATAGTTAATACTGTTAATGGAGAAAGGATGATATTGTCCTACCAAAAGGCCCCCCTTCCCTTTCAAACTGCACCCTTTTCTACACTATATATTTATTAATTGCCTTTCTGTTTCAACAAACTTGTTAGCTTCTTCAGTAAACGTGCAATTTGAGTCCATGGTTCTTAGTTTGTTTTCTATCACTACTTGTTGTCTTTGAACTCCCTGGTATCAATTTTTCTGCTTGAATTAAGAGACCTGAGATCCCTTCGCTTCTGAGTTTCTCCTTAGTGCACCAATCTTACTACATTTGCCTCTAGTTTCTTCAAAAACTCCGCTATTAAATCTTTGAACTGGCAGATTCTTGATATCTGAAAATTTTGTTGCTACCTTTTGCCATGACTCAACAGTTAAGGCTCTTGTAATCACAAGGTTTATGTCTGCCGTTGGCATGGGATTGGTTCAAAGAAAGAAAAGATTTATCCGTATCCATTAAGACCAGAACCCACCTGACAACCCACCATTAAAGCTCTGAAATGCATTACCCAGAGATTAGCTCGAGGCATCAGTAGTTCACCATGCTATCATAGTTTGACTAGCTTCTCTTCTATCATATTGGTGTAATATACTAACAAACATTTTCTGTGATTTTAAGTTTAGACATTTAGTGCCGCATAAACAGCCTTGTGTTTGTGCCGCAATAGTGTCACACCACCACCCTAAAAAAAACCTCTTTTTTTCCAGACAAGTGTGGCATTGCTGCATGAAACTATTTTTTTTTTTTTTGGGTAAAGGACATGTTGCTCTGTGTTTGCCTATTTTCACAATAACCATTTCCATTTGACTTTACCATACTTTATATATGCTAATCATTTTTATTTGGTTGTGGTCTTTTAAATTTTGTTACAGAAATTAACTCCAAAAGAAACGTCCACTGAATATACAGTAAATTCTGGGGCTTCCATGGCAAACAGTGAAGAAGGGCATTGCTCCTCATTTTTTACGCACACAAAATCACAAGTAAATGAGTTGGTGCAATTTTCAGTTTTTAAATTAACTGTTGCTTGGTTTAGTAAAATAAATGAATGGTCTTCATTTGCCCACAGGGAATCCGGAGCTCCATTGTTTTAACAGATGGAAAAAATGTTGAGTCATTGGAAGATATGGATACTTCAGAATCCGAGCATTCAAGTGATGATGACTGCAAGTGGGAACAATCTGAGTTAATCACAAATCAACGGCGACTCAAGAAAAGGAATTCTAAATATGAAACATGCTGCTCGTGTGGCAAACAATCTTCATGCAAGACGATGAGATGTGAATGCCGAGCTGTTGGGGGCAATTGTGGGATGTCATGTGGTTGCCAGGCCACGAAATGCAGCAATAGAGAAGTGGATTTGATTAAGGAATCAGATCACTTCCCACAATCAAAACTAGCCGAAGTCACAGCAGAACTCGCTGATGAAACAGAAAGGAGCCGCGCCCTCGTTTCTCATGGTGCAATGCTACTTCAAAATGCACTATCCGAGAAGCCTGCTGAGACAAATGATGACTGTGTGCAGAGAAGGAAGCCTTTATCTGACATTGGGAATACAGCGGTATGTTTAATTGCTACACTTTTTTCGACAAATTATGCTCATGCTTATCCACTCACATGATCACTGTCAGTCTTAAAACTCTCAAAACACAACTACCAGTTCATGGTGTTTGTTGTAACATTATTATGTGATTAGATCAACTTCATATGCATTCTGTTGTTCCAACTTAAGGTTTTCAACTCCTACAGGTCAAATCAAATGCGCCCAAACCCGATCAGAGAAAGAAATGGCGAAAATCAGTAATTCAGCTTGTTCCTGTAGCCGCACTTTCCTCTCAGCCAGAAAACACCGAAACCCCGAAGAAACCAGAGAGTAGCTTGGTGGTTGAGGCAGACGTGCCATTAAAGTTGCCAAGAGCTATGCGGTCTGCAGCCTCGAATAGTAACAACCCGTTGAGAGAGAGGAATGCTGAGCAGCAAGATGCTTCTGTTGTTAATAAAGAGGGTGGTCCTCCAGCTCTAAGAAGTCCACAGCTGCAGGCAAGAACGTTAGAGGACAAAGAAAACCGCGGTCTCTAAGCTGTTATTCCTTCAAGAAAAGTTCCAGTTATCTGAAATGTCGAGAATGTCATGGCTGGTGAGGATGGATCAAACCTCTGCCGATCAGGCTTCTCTGGTTGATGTAGCAGAGGCAGGTAGGTTTGTGTAGTAATTTAGAACCACATTGATTGGGTTGGTGGCAGTTTGTTCTACTGCTTCTCCCTATTATTGTATTTGTTGTTTTGAATGCAACGAAAGCTTCTTTTCATGTAGGAGCCCTCCATTATCACTTCAAAAATTAAAGTCCATGGTCTACATTTACTATGTTGACACAGCAGGCTGTTCTGCCCTTTTGCCACTGTATAACTCTGTGTTTTAAGTAAAACTAAGTGAAAATTGTATAATCTAATGAAATTATGAGGATTGGATATTCATTTGTTCCATAACTATTTCCATCTCTGGCTGTGTTACTAAAAGGTGGGCTTTGTTAGATGGCATATGTCCCAAAGATAACAAATTGGCTGGTTTTGTTGCTAAAGATGAGAATATTGAGCCATTTTTTTTTTTTTTTTTTTAATTCAAAGAGTAAGATTTAGGGACCAAATTTTGTGAGTAAGTGTTGGGGAAACGGAAGTTTTAAAAAACTTTATGAGGGTTTTTCAAATAAAGATCTTGATTCATGTGTAGAAACAAGTTTTATGCATGAAGAATATAATGATCCATTCAATTTAATGATAGAAAACTTACATCAAGGTTTGAGTAATCTTAAATCTCTCCTCTAAAGTGAATGTTCTTGTTTATTCTAGATCACTTTCCTAGATGCTTCTTCCTTGGATCTCCATCTTTTTGGTAATGGTCTTGCCTTTAGGAATCACCCATAAGCCTCCATGAATGACCTTGGAAAACTAGGCTTGTGGGAGCCTCCATTAGATAAGAAAGCGAACCCTAAAAATTAGAGAGATAATATATTCCTTTTTCTTTCAAAAGTTTCACCTAAAATATACATGGACCATGTATATATAGGCAATATAAAGATAAGGAAAGGAAATAATAAATCATTCTCAATCTCTAATTCACATATCTCAAATTTAATAGGATTCCAATATCAAGTTGGGTTATAAGTGAGAATCCTTTGGGCTTATTATTTTCTTGGCTATAATGAATTAATAATTGGCCCGATCCATAGACCCAATTTAATTAATTTATAAATTAATTTCTACTCCATTAAAAGAAATTAATTGAATTTCAATTAAATAATAAATAACCTCTAAGTCAATGTTGCACTTTGACCCCTCTATGCATAATTAGTTATTAGATAAACAAAACTATCAATCCGACTACTTAATTAATATATTTATTTTGGTACCTTTGATTATTTCTGACTTGATCATAATAAAACATTTGTTTGACAAAAATAATAATTTAAATAAATAAATATATAATAAATCATTTTGTCTAAAAACACACGAACGCCTTCGAATTTACTTTGTGATCAACCATTATCAATACAAAATAAATACAAGTAGCAATGATGTAGATATTGAAAATATAACCCTCTAACTATTAATTACATAATTACCCAAAGTGTCGGTCTAAGGATTCCAAAGAATCAGCCGAACAAATCAAAGTAATTACTAATTAATAAAAAAGGCTACACTTCTCTCATGCTCAAGAGTCAAATGCCATGATAGTGACATGGAGCAATTGCATACGACAGCTTTCGCAATATATCTCAACCTAACGCGGATCCAGTTCAAATCTTAGTTAATAATGAGTCCATCCATAATTACCGACTATGAACAATTTATGATTACTATTTATATTCATGTATTGATCGCCATCACATACATATATAAATATTTCTTGCAATCAAGTGGACACTATCAATTCCATAATGAATCGAAACATAATACATTGAATTCACCAATCATATAAATCATAAATATTTGAGATATGTCAGGAACATATGTCACTATAATCCAAATAAGAATTTGCTATGCCAAGGCATGTAAATCCCAACAAGAAGATGGTTGGTGGAGCCTACTACCCCACTCATATAAATTGAATTCGACAACTACCCGAATTCAAATCTTATTAGAAGTAAAATTGTGAATGTCAAAGTCTTCAACTTGGAATCTTACCATCATTCAAGCAAGATAGATCTAAATGCTCTAATTTTCTAAATTTAATGTTATAAGAAATCATAAAGAAATATAAGAGACAAAGTCTTAATATAAGATAAATTCTAAACCATGGACATTCACATTATTTCGTGAATTAGTCGGGCAAAAGCCCTGGATACCTTGGTTATCAATATATATATATATATATATATATATATATATATATATATATATATATATATATATATCGATTGGATGTGAATGCGCATAAGAAGATTGTCCGATCACAAAGAAACCAAACTATAGGACCAAAATTGGGCCCTACTTCAAGTGAATTAGGGCTCAGCTCGTTCAAATTTAGACTCTATATATATATATATATATATATATATACAGTAAATATATATATATATATATATATATATATATATATTTCGATTGGATGTGAATGCGCATAAGAAGATTGTCCGATCACAAAGAAACCAAACTATAGGACCAAAATTGGGCCCTACTTCAAGTGAATTAGGGCTCAGCTCGTTCAAATTTAGACTCTAGTGAGACTTTCACTAGTTGCTATATATATGAACCTATTACATTAGGCACAAGCCTTTAGACTAAAACCTAAAAGAATAAATAAATAAAGAGAATAAAGTGTCAAGGAAAAAAAAAATAGAGCCAATGTTAGTATTTGTATAGAAGCACAAAAACATTGGCTGTATTAATGTTGCTTGGAGAGAAATTAACCCATTTTCATAATTTCCTATTCTTACAAGAACTTTCCTACACACACACACACACACACACACACAAAGGTCACGTCAGTCAGAATTCTTTCTCAATTATTTCTCAGATCATGGGAAAGAGTACCGGTTTGCGGCTAGATACAGTGTAATCGAGTTTCTCCCGCAGAGCTGCTTCGAAAATAAAAAAGAAAGGTTATTGCGCCTCATATATCCTTTCTTCATGGTCAGGTCAGTCAAAATTCTTTCTCAATTCCACGTTGGTGAAAGGTTCCTTTTCTTAGTCCTTTGAAGAAGTAGCGTGACCCTAAGAACCAGGTTTCGTCATCTATGGTAAATCCAGTACTCAAAAGAATCTCTTTTTATCTTCAATATACTTTGAGACGTCTTGCAAAACTACATTTCAAGCGGAAGATAATGACATATAGACCCTATCGTTAGTAGAAACGAAACCTTTTCAACCATATTGGTTTAAGCCCTAACCCCTGATCCTTTAACAAATTCACTGTTTTCTATCGATTATCTATCTACCAGACAGAAATTGCCTTCAAAACACACATAGACACACTCAAATTTAGAAGCTTTTTTCATCATCTCTGTAGAGTTTTTTCTTTGCATATTGATTGAAGCCTAGATATGGTAGTGATTGCCAACAAAGCCTATTTGGGTCATCGCACCAAAAGAAGGAAAACATCATCAAATTCATCACCGGATTGGTCTGGACTTCCCATTGACTTGTGGGAATCAATCCTAACCTGATTGTCGATCTTCAACTTGCTTGGTGCCGAAGCAGTATGTCGTTCTTTGTGCTCTCTTGAAGAAGCCCGAATATCATCACTAGAGATTCCACTGTTTGATCAACCATTGCTCTTGCATCCTAGCCCTGATCAAAATAATAAAATTAGGCGTTGCTTATAGAATTTTGCAGAGAAAAAAGCCTACAAGCAGCTGATAAAAATCCCATAAGACTTCAATTTTTATCCCATAGGTGGTTGATTTTTTTGGACCCAAAAGCAGTCCAATACATCTTCAGTCCATTCTTGGAGGTTTTGATTAAATTTCCTCCTTTTCGTATTACCAGTGAAGTTTGCAAAGCAAGCATTGATTCCTTCTTTGTCCGGGATATTAAGAAAGGTGTTCTGTCATCAGCCCCAATTCATTGTGACAACAACTATTGGGTTGCAGTAATATATGATTCAATTGATTCAAAGATTGCCTTTTGGAAGTGGGGAGACAGTGAATGGATTGCCATTGACGGTGCACATCAATGCTATTGTGATATCATATCCTACAATGATCACATTCTTACTTTGGGTGAAACAGGTTCAATTGAAATCTGGGATTTTAAAAATTCTTTCCCTGAAAAAAAGATGGAAATTAAGCCTATTTTTCCTGAGAAAAGTTGGAATTTGAAAAGTCTCTTGGAGATGATCTTTGTACTATTCAACGTTACATGGTGGAATCAAAGGATGATCTTTTGCTTATTTTGAGGCATATTGGGAATCACGTTGTTGGGATGGTGTACTTGGTTGTTCATGAGGCCGATCTTTTTGATGAAGAGAATCAATGCTGGATTTGTCCTCACCTGACAAAGCTGATTCATGTTTACAAACTGGATTTCAGTCAGAAAAAATGGGTAGAACTGGCATCATCATGCAATTATCAAGTGTTATTTTTGGGTCCAAATCAATTAGTATCACATTCAGCCAAGAGTTTTCCATATTGTAAATGCATTTCGATTTACTTCACGGATGAGTACTATTGTGATCATTTGGGTGAGAATGACATATGTGGTTATGACACATGTATGTTTGACATGGGGAATCATAGTATAGAACTAATTAACGAAGATGAAGATGATTGACAGAAAATTGAACCAGCACCTATTTGGGTTGTTCCTAATCTATGCTAGTTATAGAGACATCCTATGATATGATTTAGCAGACTTATTTCTTCTTATTTTTGTATTCTTATGGACTACAATTTCGTGCATTAATACTCAAGTAGTTTTTGATTTGTTGGTCCTTGTAATGGATCTATATTATTTACCATATGTTAATATGTTAATACATGCATCTTCAAGCTTATACTATATTCTGATGACCAGTGCTAATTTTCTATAGATTGTCAATATTGCTTGGAGAGAAATTAACCCATATTTATAATTTCCTATTCTTACAAGAACTTCCCTATACCTTCACACACACGCATATATATATATATATATATATATATATATATATATATATAGGTCAGGTCAGTCATAATTATTTCTCAATTCTTTCTCAGATCATGGGAGAGAGTACCGGATCGTGGCTAGATACCGTGTAGTCAAGTTTCTCCCGCAGAGCTACTCCAAAAATAAAAAGAAAGGTTAGTGCGCCTTACATCTCCTTTCTTCATGGTCAGGTCAGTCAGAATTATTTCTTAATTCCACGTTAGTGAAAGGTTTATTTTCTTAGTCCTTTAAAGAAGTAGAGTGACCCCAACAACCAGGGTTCGTCATCTATACTAAACCTTGTACTCAAAAGAATCATTTCTTATCTTTAATATACTTCGAGACGACTTGCAAATCTACCTTTT